TGATATGATATAATCTGTGGGATGTGTAATACATGTGGCACAATTTGATATTGACAGACTTAGCTTAGTATAAAGAGAAAAAAGAAAATGTCATATAAAGTGACGTTCATGAAATGGCAAAGCAATTATCTTCAAACAAAATTTCTTAAATCGTTTATATTAGATACTTAAAATAAATTTACAGCGGAGGCAAAATACTTTTTCAAGCAAAGAAAAAATTAAAATTATTTCTTCTCAGTTTTCTTGAGAGCTGTGTACTAAGCTATAAGAAGGCACTCTAGTAGCGATATAAAAAACTATCCAAAATATTTAGCTGTCATTGAAACTCTACAATTCCTATGCCGAATTTCTATTAGGCATTGAAATGAAAAAAATGTATGCCATTTAAAAAAATGCCATGTGGAAATCAACTTAATGACTATTTTTTAACGTAATGACAATTAATTTTGTCATTTGTTATTTTTGACATTTAATGCCTAGTGGAAATCCAGCCTTTTTGTCATTTCTCGACACTTCCACATTTTTGTGCTAAAATACTATTCATACGTGCTAGAAATTTTGTAAATGCACTTCAAATCAGTATCAAAAAATCTATAAGCTGACTTTGGCCCCGTTTTTGAGATAAAATACGACGAAATCTTGTTTCAGACAGGGCGACTCCCTCTTATGCGATTTCTTTAATCCGATGTTGGAGAAGATAATAAGAGCTGCATAACTGAAGCGCTCAGGAACAGTTTATTACAAGAGCGTGCAACTGCTGGCGTACTCCGATAACACTGACATCATCGGTAACATGATCCGCGAAGTCTGTTCCGTTGGATAAGGAAGCAAAGCGATTGGGTCTGGTAGTCAACGAGGACAAGACGAAGCATCTCCTGTCATCAAACAAAGAGTCAGCGCATTCGCGCCTTAGACCCACGTCATTTTTGACAGTTATAACTTCGAGAAAATGGAGAATTTCGTTTACTTGGGAACCAGCATTAACACCGCTGATAAAGTCAGCATCGAAGTTCAACAGAGAATCACTCTTGCCAATAAGTGCTACTTTGGACTGAGTAGGCAATTAAGGAGTAATGTCCTCTCTCGACATACGAAAACCACACACTATAAGTCACTCATAATTCCAGTGCTGGTATATGGCGCAGAAGCGTGAACACTGACAACATCCGATGACTCGGCTGTTGGAGTATTCGAGGGAAGATTTTGCGGAAGATTTACGGGCTTTACGCGTTGGCGACGGCGACTACTGCAGACGACGGAATGATGAGCTGTATTAGCTGTATGAGCTTTACAACGACATAGATATAGTGCAGTGAATTAAAATACAGCGGTCCCGCTCACTTAGCCATTTCGTTCGAATGGGCTTCCACACTCCAGCTCTGCAAGTATTCCACTCGGAACCCGCTGCACAGTGTGCTTTTTTAACACTCCATGCGAATTAATCGTAGCGCTTTCGACAGAAGCAATATATTGATATGAACCAAAATGGCTTTGAAGCAAACTTTACTCCCTTTCACGGTAAAATACTGCCATTGACCCACGATTACTCCTTGACCTTAAAAAAAATGGCCAAAAACAGTGTTTTTCGAAAAAAACATGGAAAATCCGCCGGATTTGTTCCAAAAAAAAATTTTATATGTTTTATTACACCAATATTATAGATTTCGAGACGAGAAACACGATTCCACTATTTAAAAATCGAAAGAAAAAGTTTTAATACCTCAATTTAAGAAATGCATTTTTGATTGAAATTTTTTTATTTGCATGCAGCTGTGCATCCTTCTCACTTTTATATCACTCGAATAACAAGTACGCTGTAGTGCTATTCCATGTCGTTCGAATAACAAGTACGCTGTAGTGCTATTCAAGATCTTTAATTTGAGCCAATACCCTTGGACCTTTGAGATCCAAATTATAGCGGTTCTTAAGTTAAGTTTTTTCTTCTGGTTGCATAGTAAAATCTCCTACAGCAGATTCGAAGTTAGGTTTAGAATTGTTATAACTTGGCTCTCAGAGGGCCTATTGTGAGAATGATGCACAGCTGAATGCAAATAAAAAAATGCAATCAAAAAATCATATCTTAAATTGAAGCGTCTATAATATTAGTTTAAAAAAAATTATAAACAAATTTCTTTGGAACAAATCCGGTGGACGTTGCATGTTTTCTTCGAAGAACACTATCTCTAACCATTTTTGTTAAGGTCAAATAGTAGTTGTGGGTCAATGGCAGTATTTTTACATGAAGGGAATAACATTAGCTTTAAAAACTATTTTGTTTCATATCAAAATATTGCTTCTGTCGAAAGCGCTACGATTAATTTCTCATGGAGTGCAAAAAGCACACTGTGCGCTGGTTGTAGCAGAGGAAGAGGGAGGCCCACACTGCGATGGAAAGACCAAGTGGAGTAGGACTTGCGTCACTTGACATTTCCAACTGGCGTGTGTTGGCACAGAAGCTTTGTTGTTGTTGTTTGTTTGGCTTAGTTGAACTCCGCCAAAATGGCTTAGGCGGTTACCGCGCCAAATAATAACAAGAAGAAATAAGTAAATAAATACATACATACATTGCAAGTATGCAAATACTATCATACTCAGTGTGACATGCAGTTTCCTAAATACGTACTAAGTACTTGGTTATTTACTACAACATCCATAAATTGCAAAATACTTTTGCGCTTAGTAATTTTGTCCATCACTGGTGTAGATCCTATTGCAGGCTGCAGCGAGATTCTAGCGGATGCTTCCGAAGTTATGGTATGCTCAATTTTGAATGCAACAAAAATTAAATGTTAATCAAAGATTTAAGTTAGACATTTGCAATGCAAACTATGTCACTAAACTGTTTAAGACGTATCTGGGTCGGGTTTTATTTTTAAACCGGAACCAAGTTGTAAGTAAATGGACAGTCAGCAATAAAGCATCTTAAGATTTTAAAATAGCACTTGTAAATATTTTCAATTTTATTTGGTAACCTTTAATACATAAATTATTAGCTTAAAAAACTGCTAAGTCTTACAAAAGTATCAGCAGCAACGGCAGCATTTATAGTCAACGAAAATTTTGGGCTGCGGAACTAATTGTTTAAAGCAGAAATGGGCAGCGCTGGCAGAACTCTATAAGCATGTGCACTTGCTTCGGATGATGCCCTCTCTCTTGAAGTTACCCCCTCATTAAGATTCTCTGTTTCCACTACTTCGGCTGAGCACCCATTTGCAGCTTAATTACTACTACTACTGCTCCAGCTGTAGGGTTCACGGAAATGGTTTTACTAACAATAGTAAAGTTTTTAACCGCCGCCTTACAGTTAATTTCTGCTCCCACAAGTAGGCGTGAGTGACAACAAACTCTTCCAAATTGATTTTTGTTTTTCTTCCCTCTTCTAGCATCTACGAATAATCCCTTCCTCATATTAATTGTTATTGTTGTTTGTGTGTAGCTGTTGTCCCCTGCGCATAGGATTTGCATAACTTTCGCACTTTGCAAAATGATAATGTTTTCTTGAAGTTGACTGGCGAATTGGAAAGAAGGGCGTGGAATAACGTTTGGTTGGCAAACTTCATTGCCACTAATCCTCTGACAGGGAAGCTCCGGTAGTGCGTACCAGTGCAACAATCTAAAATGCGTTCACACAACCGGTATACTGTTAAAAATAGACGTACATACATACATACATATGAATTTTGAATGTGAATGACAGCGGCAAGTTGGTTGCCACCTATCACTTCAAAGTTGTAGTTATTGTTGTCGTTTGGCCCACAGCTTTTACTGCTACGGTCGCAATGTAGTTAGTTTTCCGCATGTTGTGTTAAATAGTTTGAAAAGGGTTGTTGTTGTTAAATGCCTCTGTGACAGCCAACATTGGCAACATCAGCACAGTTCATGACTTGCATTTATCGCAGAAACTCGAATAACATTTCATGCGGAATAATTTGTTCTGGTGACTGAGGCTGAGATTGTTGCTGCTTCGCCGCAGCAAAGCGATTAAAATTAAATTGTCGGGATAACTGTTGCCGCAATGATTTTTTATTTTTTGGCAAAATCATCAGAATGTTAGAAAATTCAACAAGAAATAACCAAGCTCATTTTATGTGCAAAGCTAGTCATACATATGTATATCGGAAGGCACTGTGTTGCTATCAGATATCGTAAGATCAGGCATAATATTACAATCCCGCACCAAACTTTTCAGTCAATTTTCTATGTTGGCGCGAGCTTGAGAAAAGCTGGTGTGAATTTTAAACTTAAGTGTGACCGAATAAACGAATTTGTAGATTTCTCGTCGTTCCCAGAAATCGGGGCTGTCTAATGGCACATAATGGTATATGTTAAACTTGGGTATATACCCTATCCGAATAAGGCTCAGGTCACAGAACCACTGAAGGCAGCTGATCATTCACAGTGTCGTGGATATGCTTTATCAAATCGACCTTCTAGGAAAAGACATGGTAACCTAGTGCAGTGATCGGATTTAAAAAAATTCTGTGTGGTAGAATCTGGAAAAAATGTGGTAGATTTCAAAAAAATGTGGTAGATCTCAGGTTTTCGATCAAACTTTGTACAAAAATTAAAAAAATTCTGCAAGGCTTCCCTTAAATTGCAAAGGTATTAATTAGACTTTAAAAAAAAATTAATTTTAGTATATTAAGTGCAAGATTGAAGTTGCCAAAATTGCGTTGAGTGTTGGCAATTTTTTTTTCCTTGACAGTGTAAAGGTTCCATATCAAGATATTTTTCGAACATATTTTGCAAACCTTGCGGAGTGCTGCCTGCTTTTCTTGTTATCACATCACGATGTAGCGAACAAATGTGGCACGTTACAGAAACCGCTACTTGGGTTTTGCAGATTTTGACAATTCTCAAGTAAAAGTAAACAAGGCCTCAGAAACTTTAGATGCTCTGAAATTTGCTAAAACTTTCACAAAAATCGCTGTTTTTTAACATTTTCGCTATTAATTCTTTTTATAAATCATAATGTATTTTGCAATTTAACATAATAAAACCGCGTTTCCTGTCGAAAAATTTATTGTTGTAAAAATTTACTATTTTACAGTTTATTCTATCCTCCCAATAGGGGTTTGTTTACTTTTACTTGAGAAATTTCATCGCCGCTGGGAATGCGGAATCTTGTATTATATCATTCTTGTTACCGTATAGTGTTTAGTGTTGCACAATTTTTGCTGTTACAATTAATTAAGATTATTTCTTTCTTTCCTATTTGGCAATAAAACAAAAACCAGTTGTACAAACTGTAGAAACTAGAAAACTTTAGTTGATAGAAAAGAACTACAGGCGATGAATTTCACAAAAATTTATTGAAATACTAGTTTGTCTTCACCCGCTTCGCTGAGTGTATAAAATTAAACAATTCCAAATATTTCTTTTTCATAGTCCTCTTCAAAATATATACAACTGCTACCTTCTGACAAATATTTTAATAAATTTCCTTAATTCAATTTCAATTTAATTTTTGAAACGGTTTCATGTAGTTAAATAAAACATTTTCAAAACTATTTCGATTGATACCAATATTGTACATACATAATATAATAGTGTTTGGGCGAGCTTCTCCTCCGATTTGTGGCATGCGCCTTGATTATTTCATTTATTGTTTTTTTTTATTTTTTATTTATTTTTTTTATTTTTTGGTGTTGGTCGGAATCTGGGCTTGAATCCAGGCCCTGCGGAATGGTAACGCGCGCTGCTTACCTCTACACCACTGCGGCCTTCTTCAAATACCTCAGAAAATATTTCTTTCCACTCTTTTGTTTAACACTTAAACTTGTGTATAGTTTAATTAAATTCGACTTCTCAAACAGGTGGCAACTCTTTTCAAAATATTTTCAAACTACAACCTTCTTAAACCGCTTTCGTTATCTTCTCACCAATATTCTACCAAAAATACTTCCAGAGATTTGCAGTCACTTGCTCTTCTCCAATAACACCCATTTTGAGTATGGCACTAATTTTTATATAACTCCACATTAAGTTCGGTATTCTGCCATAAATATCCGTACTTCCAAAGAGATAAGCCGTATGGAAAATTCCGTTTGTGTGGGAAGCGCCTCACTCCCTTGTCTAATCGAGATTATGGCTGTCCTATATTTTTAGTCGGTCGGTCTAAATGACACCAGTTTACAAAATTTCGCGATGATCGGTTTATTAGTTAAAGCGTGAAAGCGAAACAAACCAACAAACACTCTTTCGAATTTGTAATATTAGTAAGGATTACTCTTTTTTAAAAGTCAAAATTCAAACACAAGATGGCGATTCGAGTAAAATAGTACAAAAAATGGCTGGGGTTGACCCAAGTTGGCAAGTCTGTGTGATTCTGTAAAAAATGAGTCATGCATAGCTCTATTATTGTTTTAATAAGTGTACACCCTTACACACATACATCAGCACCATGTACTAAACTCTAACAATTCCAATGTGTAATTTAGTTTGGCGTCGAGTAATGAAAGTTGAAGAGATAACTAAGCGAATGCAATTATGGCGTCTAAAGGATCTCCTCTCAAGGGCTTATATGTATTTACTTCAAAATTAAACCATAGCGCAACGAAACTTTTTAGTCACTTACTAAATTTTGTGTTGTCAATTTTTGCTTTGCGGTTTGTCATACTCTGGGTGGGAGTGGGGGAAACCTTAATTACAAGAAGAATAAAATGAAGATGGAAAATGCAATTAGCGTGTGAGGGGAAATGCACACAAGGTCTTTTAAGATGCATATCGTCGTTCTGCCTAACCGCGTAACTGAAATTTTTTGCCAAAAATTGGATTTGCTCTCACATGCTCTTGGCTCAAGCCTTATGCATTCGTCCTGAAATATACCAGCCGGAAATGCGATTTCTTTATAAAAAAGAGAAGCGTTTTAAAATATGAGTGCTTTTACTCTCGAGGGAATAATTTATGCAACCTCACATACGCGGTTTTGCTTTTTGTTGATATGCGGTTTTGTGCTTTAAACGACGATATTTATGTGTATTCAAAGGCCGGAATACCGCAGAACGATGAGTTGTATGAGCTTAACAAGGACATAGAAATAGTGCACCGAATTAAAATTCAGCAACTTCGATTGCTCAGTCATATCGTACGCCTCAGCTCTGAAAATATACAACGCGGATCGCGATGCTTGTAACAGAGGAAGAAGAAGGCTCCTCTACAATGGAATGAAGAGTTGGCGAAGGACTTGGTTTTCCTCGGCTTTTCCGGTTGGGTTCAGTTGACACAGAAGACAAACGACTGGTATAATTTGTTGGAATCGATCAAAATTGCTTAGGCGTTTACGCGCCAAACGAAAAAAAAAAAAATTTAAAGGACATATAGGATATGAATAAGAAAACAATGTCGGAGATTTGATGAATGAAGCGAGGTTACTTATATTGAAAACTGTTGATATCGTTTCATTACCAATTGCATCTTTTTAATAATAAGAGAAAAGAAATGCTAGATTAAAATAAAGTAGTTTCAGGCAATCATTAAATTTGGCTGATAATTTCCCATACTAAAAAGATTTCTTCTTAAATCGGCACTCGCACCTGAAAAACGTCACTAAAAATAGGATAAGGTATAGTTGGAAAGTTTTTTTATGAAAACATTTTAATCAAAAGTTGGAAAAATGCTTAAAATGCCAAAAACAAATGTTTATGAAATTGTTGCCAGATTTTAAATGCGGTGCTCTTTTGAAATGGAGTAATTTAACCCTATCCTATTCAAGAAATTTCTTTATAATAAAATATATAGTTTAGTACGACTCATGACATGATAGGAATTCAAGCCCAAAAATCCATTTTCAGGGATGGTATAGTTAGCCAGCACAATTATTTTATACAATATTACTTTGTTTCCTAACTCGTAACAGTCTAGTGCAGACAATCGATCCAAACTCTAAAAAACAAGTAGTTTTTAACCAAAAAAAAAGGACTTCAAATCTCATCTACAAATTTCAGAGTACCATTATATTATTCCTAATCCAATGATCATCTCTGAGGTACCACTTTTACTTTAAAAAAGAATTGGGGAAATCGGTTAACGTGGTCCAAAGTTATGCGGTAACATATATAAAAAAACGATTCCGACGAATTCATAACCCCCTCCTTTTTTAAAGTCGGTTAATAAAAACAAAACGAAATTGCAGAAAACCACGAAAACGCCAATAGCATCATTTACACATTGCGGGAAAATGCTTAAATGGTAAATTAGCTGGAATACACGAACTGAACGATTTTCATGTCAATATGAGAACGCCAGTGACCGGCCAACAAATAAAACACGCAAAACTGCAATATCCGGTTCTGGCATATTCCCAGAAAAATGACAGGAATTGCGATTGAACAAACGCGCAACTGCAGGCTAATATGGACTGTAAGACAGGCGTAACAAGCCGCACCGAAACACAAGCTCCTGCGGTGCATACAAACCAGTTGTCATTTACAGTAGTTCAAACAAGCAGAAATAAAGCAAAACAAACAAACACTTGAAATTCAACAAGCCACAAAATTGTTAGTCAAAGGATTTAAGGGAATTTACTCATTTACTACATATTTACATACTAACACACGAGTGCAGGGAGCTGTCTCTGTTAGTTAAAGGCTTAATTGCCGATAGGTACAGGAATTAACAAACAGTTTAGTATTCAGTGGAATGCCGGAAATGAAACGCTCCAATATTCATTAAATTCATTAAAAATAAAGTGTTTGTTTTCCAATTTTATTTGCATTATTTCATGCACGAGTATACTTGAATGCGAAAACCTGGGCGTATGTGGAACATTTACAGTGACGAGCAAAACTGAAACATAGTGTAACACTTTTTATTTCAGCCGCCGGTATCTTTTCAAGTTCTAATGACATTCATACTTTTGTTGTATATTCTTATTGGTACACCCAGTGGCGGATTTAAATATTTGCCGCCCCTAGGCAATTCATAACTTGCCGCCCTTTTTTCACGAAAAAAAAAAATATATATATATATCAAATATGATTGTTATTGTCAGTGCTTTATTACAATATAGTTCGTTAATAATGAAATACATAACGGAATTAACAAATTCGACATCAGCATGGATAAGGTATTCAACAAAAACCCTCTTTCAAACACTTCTTTTTCACAGTTCTTTACGTCTTGATTTTTCAGCTGCGAATTCGCGGATAATATCTTCACAATCGATAGATAGAAACAAATCTGACTCTATAGTCAGCAACGCAAGAGCATTCAGTTTGTTTTCGCTCAATGAAGATCTGAGATAGTTTTTCACGCGTTTTAAAACAGAAAACGATCTTTCTGCGCTACAATTGGAAATAGGAATTGAAACAAACATCCGCAACGCAATTTCAACATTAGGGTAAGAGATCTGCAGATTATCCTGTCTCAGCATTTTCAACAGTTCCAGAGGAGAATAATTTAAAATCTTCTTTTCGGTGCAGTATGCCTTGAAAAAGACCATTTCATTTCCCAAATTTTCCTCAAGATCTTGGGTGTAGTATTGGCTCAATATGATGGATTTTTCACGTAATTCTTCGTTGCTCAGATGTTTCATATCAGTGATGAGAGAAAATTTCGAATAGATTTTTTGATACGCCTCACGTCTCCGTGTCAATTCTGTCAAAGTACGGTCCAAGATAACGTTGAATGTGTTGACACGAAAGTTGTCTCGGCCACTCAATTGGATACTATTGTCCCTATTTTCACCAGGTTGTAGATTCTGATTCCTTCGACGCTGCCTGAGTGTTTTGTATTCCTGAATTGTAGAAATAGAGAGAGCTTTCTCTTCATATTGATCGAATTCTTCGCGAGTGTCAGACACAACTTTAATGAGTCCGTTGAACAAAGAGATCACTCCAGAAATAGTCGTAAAGTGCAGCTGAATCCAAATAAGTTTTTTTCTTTTAATTTAGCTGTCTTAAATTTTGCCGCCCCTTAATTCTGCCGCCCTAGGCTTCAGCCTATGTTGCCTGTACGATAAATCCGCCACTGGGTACACCTGTACTTCATCACTTATAACGATTTGAAGTCAATCCAACAACAATAAAAAAACCAGAAGTTTGGGGTTGTATTTCAAGAATATTGTTGGTCCGTTAGTACGAATTATGCGTAAGGAACAGTATCTTTTCATATTTCAACAAAAGGAGAGTTTCTGCTGAAAAATCACCCAAAACTCACTGCACATTTTCGCAAAGACTGGATACAAAAGCAAAAATTTGCTAATTTGAAATGACCTTCACAATCCGCAGACATAAATCTCATCGAGAACTTGCGAAATCCACTAAAAGCGCAGCTCACTAAGTATCCAAGTCTGTCCATTGGGTACTCCATGAATTGTGAAAGCAAACCATGGACATATGGGAGCTATACCTCCAGAATTTTTACAGAGATACACAATGGGTATGCCAAATTGCATTCAGAACTAAAAAAAGCAAAAGGGTACTGAATATTCTGTTAATAATTCTTTTTTAACCTAATGTTTATAGTTTTTTTTTATAAAAGTCTAGCAAATTACCTAACCAGACCCACTTAAGTCTACATTTCGAACTTCTTACAAAAATTATAAAAATTCAACAAACTTTAACAATTACACCCAAAAATTTTAAACTTGTTATGCAAAATTTTGAGGTATGCATTTTTGTAGTCCATTAGTAGTAGTCCAGTAGTAAAAGTGAAAATTACAAGAAGCTTGGAAATCGAGTTCATTTTTAATAATTTTTTTGGCTGACGGAGATAAGCATTTTCTTTTATATAAAAGGCACTATCCTAAGATAAATCGTGAGCGAACTTAACCCCTACTTGGCTTCTTATATTTTTAACCGACTTCCAAAAAAAGAGGAGGTTATCAGTTCGTCGGAATATTTGTTTTTTTAATGTATGTTACCGCATAACTTTGGACCACGTCAACCGATTTCGATAATTCTTTTTGCATCGGAAAGGTAATGTCTCAGAGGTGGTCCCATACTAATCTGGTTAAGATCCGATCAGTGGATCATGAGACATATATATATATATTTTTTTTTTTTATATGAGAGTTGAAGTTGGTTTTTTTTTGGTAAAAATTACTTGTTTAATAACTAATCTTTATACACGGACCACACTAAAAGCTGCTTTTCATATAAAAATTCGTACGTGTCGTACCCGTGACAAACGTTGTCCCACCCGTGACAGAAGAAATTTTGCATTTTTTGTATAATAAAGCCATAATTTTTATACCCGAGCGCACTTGTGCACAAGGGTATATTAATTTTGTTCACATAACGGTTGTTTGTAACAGCCAAAACGAATCGAGATAGATATAGACAAATGTATACATAAATGATCAGGATGAAAAAAGAAATCGATTAAGCCATGTCTGTCTGTCCGTCCGTCTGTCCGTCTGTCCGTCTGTCCGTCTGTCCGTGTACACGATAACTCGAGCAAAAATTGAGATATCTCAACGAAA